CTTTTTTAAATGGAGATGATGGCGGTAAATCCTTGGAGTTGTAAACTGAGAATAGAACAGAATAGAACATAATAGAATAGAGCAGAGCAGAGCTGGAGAGAACCTTGGAGGTCTTCTAGTCTAGCCCCCTACTCAAGCAGGAGAACCTATGCCATTTCAGATAATGACTGCCTAGTCTCTTCTTTAAAAAACTCCAGTGATGGAACACCTACAATTTCTGAAGGCAAGCTGTTCCACTGTTAATTGTCTTCACTGTTAGCAAGTTTCTCCTTAATTCCAGGTTGCTTCTCTCTTTGGTCAGTTTCCAGCCTTTGTTTCTTGTCTTACCCTCTGGTCTTTGGGGAATAATTTGACCCCCTCTTCTTTGTGGCAGCCCCTCAAATACTGGAATGCTGCTATCATGTCACCCCTTTTTCTTCTTTTCTTTAGACTAGCTAAACCCAAGTCCTGCAACCGTTCTTCATATGTTTTAGTCTCGGGCCTTTGGTCATCTTAATTGCTCTTCTCTGAAAGTTTTCCAAAGTCTTAACATCTTTTTTGCAATATGATGACCAAAATTGCTTTGCAGTATTCCAGGTGTGGTCTCACTAGTGTAATATTAGCCTAAAGAGGAAAGGAAGGAACTTTGTCTAAATAGAGCTCCGATAATGCTCTTGTGCTTGGCAACTATCATTGCTCCTTGTTAGAAGACTTGTTTCAGTATTACAACTCCATTCCCACTACAGTTTTTTCCTGCCAAGAATAGCCTTCCCCATGCTGACACCATTCCAATGTGTTCAGATTACAATTCGCGAATCCTCAACATTGCCAAAGACTGGAAATTATAGGCTTTGTAGTTTCAGAATATCTACAGGATGCCAAGTTTTGGAAGACTGTTCTGAAGCACATATCCTGAAAACTATTTCTGCACAAGAAAACAGACACTTGAAATGAAACTAATTAACTTTTATTTACATAGATTTGGTAGATTATTAAATTAATTAATGCTCTTCTTACTATAGCTATGTTATTACAAATTCAAAGAATAAATTACAAGAGCTTATTTATTTATTTATGAGACTTATATACCGCTTTTAAATGCAAGCACTCTCTAAGCGGTGTACACCAGTAAGCAATGTATATATATATATATTTACATTGCCCCCAACAATCTGGGTCCTCATTTTACCTACCTCGGAAGGATGGAAGGCTGAGTCAACCTTGAGCCGGTGAGATTTGAACCGCTGACTGCTGAACACAGTCAGCTAATGATGTAATACCATCATTACCAAAGGCAGAACAGAAAGTTTTCTACATTCGAAATTAGATAGGCAGACATTCAGTAATTTAGGCTATTACTATAAATATGTTAGCTGTGTTTTTCAGTATTTCAGAGGTATAACTTATTTTAAAATATTCCATTCTCCATTCTGATAAGTTTTCAATGTTTATTCTGGTAATATGTATGAGGCACCTTAGTTTAACATTGCTTGAGGGGCCATTTTCTTACTCACTGATCACTTAAGATGAGATAAATTGTGTAAATTCATTTGATTAATTTAGTCCAACATCTTGCGATTAGAAATGGTTGAGCTGAAAGCTGGATATAATAGAAAAGGCAAGGTTTAAAATAAGAGCAATTTGTCAGTTTCTGTCCAATACTGACACAGAACTGTCACAGTAGCAGTTAATAGTTTCACTCCAAAAAGGTAGTCCTGTATTCTTTTTTTAAAAAAAATCTAGGCTAGTAGCTTTTACAACTTTGCTACAGCATTTATAGTTCTGTGGAATAGTTGTATTTTACGTAGAATTCATTTTTTATGAAGTCGTCTGATAATTCATTTCATGGAATTGTCCCCTGTTTTAATAGAATCTTTGGGAGCAATTCTGAATCTATTTAGCCTCATTTATGTTTCATGAGATCTGAATAAATTCAACTTTGCGATGATCTCTCCCCCCCCCCCACCTTTTTGGAAAGAAAGGGTTGTGGTATTATTCCTTCACTAGCAGACTACTAGGCATTTCCTTGCAATTGAAATTGTCCTTGTCTGCAGGTTTATTTGGTTTTGGTTCTCTTTTCTCAGGAACCATTCTTTTCTCTCTTTCTCTCTCTGGGGTTGAATAGTGGGCACAACACTGACTTTGATTAGCTACTTTTCTTTTGTTAGCTCCCATTTCTCATTTAGGAGTTTCTGATCTTTCTGCTTGCTTTTTTCTGTTGTGATGCACTGGCTACTTCAGCAACATGCAGTGACTCCAAAATCTGTTTCCAGAGTTCAGCATTCTATACTTATATTAAATAGCTCTTTGCATTGTGCGTTACTTTGCTCTCATTGCATTAAATTTCATTTGACATTTTGCTCCTGCCATTTAGTTTTTTTAAAGACCAAATCTGTTCAAACTTAGACTGTTATACTAAATGTTTCCAATATTTTTGCTTGTAACTTGAGAATTGCATTTCTTTTGCCAGATTAATTTCATAAATTGTGGCATGCCCTGAATACATTTTTAATTGGAATAGCAAGTCATTTTATCTGTAAAACAATTTGAATGGAAAAGCAGGTGACAAAATAGGCACCTCACTAGTTGTTCTTACTTTACAGTTGACTGCTGTAACTCTCACAGAAAGGAGAGTTAATTTGTATCTAACTCGCCCTCTTGAAATACTGTAAATCTAACTTGTTTACATATTCAGATTTGTTTGCATGTTTATAAATATTGTCAACATATGAAATGGTTTTGGGATACAGTACTCTCATCCCACAGATGAATACCAAAATTCCCTAGGCTATCCTACCTTATCACAAATAGATATTTTTTTTTTTGATGTGTGCCAGCCTGTAATAATTGCCAAGCTATTGCAATTTTCGATTGGTTTTTCTGATTGGCTGATTATGTGCCATCTAATTGATGACAATTCTTAGTGACCACATAGATAGACCTTCAGAATGATCCGTCCACAACTGAAACTTCAGATCTTCCAGTGAAGATCAATTGAATCCATCCACCTTACTGCTGGCCTTCTTCTCTTTCCTTCCTTTGATTTGTGTTTCTTTCATTTGATTTGTACTCCTTTCCCGGAAGGATTTGCATGCATTTCTTTTTCTTGGAATTATTTATTTCAGATAACTTGGTTCTCTCAAAAAAGATAATTTGACTTTTGATCTTCAGTATAGTTTTATAAAAAAATTTTATGGTTTATGTATAAAGTCATTCTGTACATAGAGTCTGTTAATTCTCCCTGAATCACTTCAGTTTTCACTTTTTTTTAATTGAAATAACTCTTTGTCTTCCAGTTGCATACACAGTTCTACAATCTTAAATACATAAACAGAGACAGAAATTAAATATTGTGGATTATTTTAGCTGATTTAGTTTACCTAAGTAAGTTATTATGTGATTTCATTTTTGAGACACTTTTTAAAGAAATTAGTATCTTATCTTTTTCTTTTGACATACTCTGTTTAGCTTATAGCTTTGTTTTTAAATATTGCTTATTGAAATGTTGATTTTGATAGAATTAAAACATTTTTGTCTGAATATAATTATTATTGAGCCATATATACAACAGTAATTTCTCAGCACAAGGAACTTAAACCCTTCCAAAATCAAACAGGTATGCTTAAAATTTAAACATGGCCTTGAATTAATTCTGAAAGAATAACTGTATTAGGCAGCAGGAATAAAAACAGAAACAAAACAAATTCCTTGGCATTAGGGAAAGGAAATTCTTATCTCTAACGGCTCTCTTATAAGACTTTAAGAAACACATAAATTACAATAATTCCAAATTGATTTTAGTCATCATTTCTATACTTAAATTGGGGATGTGTTGGAAAACATGGTGTGCTTCATTTTCTCTGCATTTTAAACTATTTGATGTAATTAATTTATTGCTAGAGAAGCTTAATAGATTTTTTTCTTAGAATAATTCTTCAGCACATTCCTGCTGTAAAAGCCAGCATTATGAGTATTTTATTTTATTTATAAATATATATGTATGTGTGTGTGTGTATGTATATGTATGTGTATATATGTGTGTGTGTGTATATATATATATATATATATATATACATGTGTGTGTGTGTGTGTATGATTTGTTTTCATAGATTTTTACGGGTGTAGGTATTATATAATTTGTTTTTGTAGATTTTTACGGGTATAGGTATGCAGGTCTTGGTGTATTCGGGTCTTTTCCTATGTAAGATTGAGAGTATCTTGGCGATGTTTCAGCGAGGTCCCACTCATCATCTTCAGGCTGGGGTCTTCGGCTTCGTGCTTGTGCGGGCAAAGTGTGATCGAAGCTGCCGTGTCTCTCTATATATATTGGTGGGGTGTGTGTGGAGTGCTGGCTTAGTTGCTGTAGGTGGATTGGTTGGCTGTGTATGAGTTATTGTTTGTGGATTGAGATCTCAGGATGTCATCACACAACCCATTACCCAGGTCGTTACAACACAAAAGACTAATGGGCACACAGCCAGCACCTCAACTACTCAGGATGTTACGAAACAGCCAAACAATCCACAAACAGTAACTCTTATATATATCTCCTTTAAAATGTGAATCCTGGGCATCATTTTAACTTAAGCTAATATATATATTCCTTACAGTACAGATGGTCTTCGTTATCCACAATTTCATTTCCTGCTGCTTCACGTATTCACAGTTGGTAAATGCACATCAAACTTTATCTGCAGTCAAGACTTTTGCAAAACTGATTTTAAATTTGTGATTCCCTTTGGAGGAAGTATTCTTTTGCAGATGTTATGGGTGTCAAAAATTGCAGTTAGGCTTTTCCACATGTACATTTTGGCTACACCACAAAGAAAAGAGCCGCCACTGATATACAGTATTCTCAAGAAGCTAGCAATCAGCATCAGGAATAAAATAATAAAGTAATGAAACAAATCACAATGCTACAAGTACAGCAGAGCCTCACAGTGGCAGAATCAGAGAGTAGGGTTTTTTTTTAGGTGCCTGGGAAAACAAAAGCTTTCCTTTTCTTGGCATCTAAAAGACAGATGACTTGGCTGTTGAGAGAACCTCCTCTTCCAAACATTGAACGCCTCAAGCAAGAAGGAGCATTTCCTCAGGATCCTCTAGAAAATTCAGGAAGCAGAGGACTGAGGAAAGGCCTCCTGAAAGGGACTCTGCATGTTGATAAGGTTTGTGGGAGAGCAAGTAGTTCCTTAACGCCAAACATTGGCCCTCCACTAAAGCAGGGAGAAGGACAGATGAGTTTTGTAAAGCTTAAAATATTCTTAAAATGTTATTAAAATATTCCAGGTGGTGGCAAAACAGACCAGCCTATATTACCAATTTTAGAACTAAGATGCTTTCTCTTTCTTTCAGTGTAATTTTAAAAAACCTTTCTTATACTTGCTCACTGCAACACTAGATTCTTCCAGTTGTGCCTTTTTTGGTCAAAGGGCTTACGACAATATCGTGACTTTGGGGTGATTCTGTTTTGCTTATTTCTGAACATCTTAAATTGAACCCAGAACCCACTGCTAACCAAGACATCTTACATAGTAGTGATCTTCAGCTACCCTGGACCAGAGTCACTTTCTTCCATGTAGGACTATATTTCTGGCTACCTAGCTTGTATTTTTTGAAGAAATATTCTTCCTTACCATGCTACATAGAACCATTCTCCATTCAGATGCCTGCTGTATGAAATGATCTCTTTTATTGAGATCAAATGGGTTCACAATGTGGACAAGAATTAAAAGCCTTATTTGTTCAAGTATATACATTTCATTATTAGTCACTTTATATTTTTTAATACAGTACTGTTTGGTTTTGAATTGTAATTATATTTATTGTATTGTATTGCTGGATTTTTGTTTTTGAATGATTCCATTTGAAAATTGCTTTGGGAGTAATTCTAAAAAAACAATCATTTCAGGGTCAGACAACCTCTGGAATGCAACAGTTTGACATTTTTAGGTTTCGTAGATACCCCTGAAGATGTTATTAACATACTTTGATACCTTTGATACTTCATGAGTGCTTATTATTTCAGTGAATTAATTCTCCTTTAATCATGAAGCTGATATAGATTGATAGGTAATTATTCTGTGATCATTGTCGCAGTAAAGCTTAGAATATATTTCTATGATTACCTTCAGTAGTTGAAGCCTATTATGCCCAGTGAAGTTTGTTCACAGATAAATATCTCTGGAATCTTTACAAAATTTGTATTCCTTTTTTCATTTTGAGTTTTGAATGCAATGTAAATTGCATTCAAAATAAATACACAAAATAAACAGTAAATAAACAAAAATGTTGCCTTTTTGTATTTAATGTTGTCTATAGAATTCATTATGGAATGTAACAAGCGTGAGTCTGTCTAAAACATTGATTCTGTGATTCATCAAGTAGTAAATGGTAGTGGGTCTTACACAGTATCAGTTCAATATAGGAGTATTCTAAACCATTCTTTTCCTCTTTTATCTGTTGGAAGTGTGTGGAGAAGCAAAGGGCAGTGCAGAAGATGAAGGCGAGGCTCAGGCTGGCTGGATTGAGGGAGCAGCCATCCTCTTCTCAGTTATTATTGTGGTATTGGTCACAGCCTTCAATGACTGGAGCAAAGAGAAACAATTCCGGGGTCTGCAGAGTCGCATTGAGCAGGAGCAGAAGTTTACTGTCATCCGTAAGGGACAAGTGATCCAAATTCCTGTAGCTGAGATTGTGGTTGGAGACATTGCTCAAATCAAATATGGTGAGTAACTATAAACTTTCCAGAATATTTTTCTCATGTATTGAAATTACAGTTATCACTGTCTGATTAAAACCAAAGGGACATACAAACATTAGGACATAGATGCTGCTTCTAGGTTTGTCAGTTATCATTCACAAACCATGTGAATTATCTTTGCCAATCATAGAAATAGCTCATGCTCATCCAAGGTCTTTGCTTCCTACTGGGAGAAGTATTATGATGACAGGGATGATGCTGTACAACATATGTGAGTCAAGATACCATGTATGTTATCTACATCAAGAAATTGCTGTGCTCCTATTTTCTTTCCTTCCTTCTGCACTCCTAAGCCCAGAAAGGCAGCTTCAGTCCTTATTTCCTCAATTTTCTGTTGCTGTTCTACACTTAACTAAAATGGGATGAGAAATTCAGCAGTGTAGTTCATCTGCAGCTTAATAAAAACACCATTATTCCAAGATGCAGCATGCTAACCTTCCAGCATAATCTTCTTTCAGGCAATATAAGAAGGGCTGAGTTTAATTGCCTGGAACAGGCACATGGGTTCAACATTAGGATGTAAAAATTATTTTTAAAAAACATTTTTTAATTTTTTTTAAAAAAAGGAATGGTTCACACGAACCAAAGTCAACCAGTAATACTCTTGGGCCTAGTGAATGTATGGTCTCTTGTGAAAAAAAGATTGGTTAGACGTCATATTGAAGAATTGGCACATAGGAAAGAATAAAAGCAGGAAAGCAGATGTACAAACTTTACACTTTGGAGTATCTTATAGAACTTGTTCAAATGAAACTTGTAGGGGAAAAAAATCAACATTGAATATGATTTTATTAATTACATGAATGTGTCCTGATGATTACCCTCTTTCAAAGCCTTCATAATATACTTGCTTATCTGCATTTCCTTATTTGCTTGTGGAATTGCAATTATGTCCCACGGCTGTGGGGTGGATGAATTGCCCTCAATTCCTAATGGAAGTTTTATGTGCAAAGGAAATAATGCTTAGCAGGAACACAGCCTGTGGAAACTCAATTTATCTCTTTTTCTCAGTGCAATTGGAATTAAACTTCATTTTTTTTCCCAAAGCAAACTAGTAGAGTACAGGCAGGAAAAATGTGTTCCTATTAAGCTGAGTTCAGCAAAATTGATGGTGTCTAATACATTCCATTTCCAGTAATGGCTGCATGCCCATCTTTGTCACCAGTTAAGTTTAAAAAAAAAAAAAAAAAAAAAAGTTACAGAAGTTAAGCTGCCTTTGGTTTGATAGATTTTTTTGAGCCTTGATTTGGTGGAGAAAACTTGGGTGACCTGTTGTTTCTCTGACTTTTTAGGGGACCTGTTGCCAGCAGATGGCATTTTGATCCAAGGAAATGATTTGAAAATTGATGAGAGCTCTCTGACTGGGGAATCTGACCAAGTGAAGAAATCTTTGGATAAAGACCCTATGTTGCTTTCTGGTTAGTGTCTCAGGTTGCAGGAAGTTGAATTTAATTTATAGTACAGGTCTCCGAGCCTTTTGGCATCTAGGTGCAAATATGCTGTTAATTACCCCTTATGAAAATGCCAGGAGTTGTGTAGTAAAGAAGCTGTTTTGTAATTCTCTACGATAAGCTAGAGAAGATTTTCCAGATGTTTATTTTCGGAAATATTCAACATTTATTCTGTTTTTCACAGGGGAACCACTTCATGCACAAGCTTCACTTATCTGGTCCATTCTTTTTGAATATGAAGCTGTAGTATAATGTATACTATACTGAATACTTGATTCTCTATAGCATCACTGAACTCCTACTTCTTCCTGGAGAAATAGCACAACAGAATTCAAGAATGCTTTAATAAAAAAATTAGTCTTATCCAATTCTTATGGACCAATGAGATTCAGCATTTCATACTTCTTTAAAAAATGAAAGTGATTCAGTGTATATCATTGTATATACTCTCTTGCATGTATATGTGCACTATGAATATTGAAGCTAGCACAAACAGGAACTTCGTGTATGCCCATACATTGATTCGAATAAGCCATCTAGAAATTGAATTTCATCTCCCAGATATATTCACATCTTTAGGTTATATTTTGAAATTAATTGTATAGTTTATCCAGTGCCTCTTTTTTTCCTTTCCCATGCTTCACCTGTTCTTATTAGGCACTCATGTAATGGAGGGCTCTGGTCGAATGGTGGTGACTGCTGTGGGTGTCAACTCACAGACTGGAATAATTTTTACTCTTCTGGGTGCCGGAGAAGGGGACGAGGAAAAAAAGGTCAAGAAAGGTAAGATTCATAAGCCATTCTTTATGTTGGTAGCATGAAGTTCCTTAGTGGACTGACATTGGAAGTTTTTGAGTTTTATAAGGAAAACAAAACCCTGAAGGTTCAAGCATCTTATTGTAAACTCAATATGTAATCAGTACAGTGCATGCCAGAGATTAGAGAGTCAACGATCATGCTGACAGATCAGCTGTAGCTCAGTAATGCCAAGAAATGGGGACAATAGAAGATTGCTATCTAAAAGCTACAGGTTTTCTCTTTTGAGTCATCATTTTCATCAAGCAAACATGAATTTTGAAAAAGGCAAGGGGGAATAACAGTTGTGTCAAGTACTTACGTACAGGGATTTCGACAACCTGCACTTTTCCAACCTGCCTCCTCCCCTCCCCCCAAATTCTTTCTTGTTAGCATTGAGTCTGCTTTCTATGACAAGTGAGCATATTCAGTTGACATAAGGTTGTTTACTTCTCTGCTACCATTTAAAGGTACTTTTTTTTGTATGTACTGGTTTTGTGAATCCTGTTGGTACATCTTTTACGCTGATATGTTTTTGTCTACCTACAAATAGGCACTTGGCAGAAACAGGGTTGCTCTTAATAGATAGCGAGGATGAACATCCGTGACCCTTCAAGTGTAACTTGCTCACTATGGACACACCAATGAACCATAGGTTTCCCATCCCAGAATAGAAATATTAAGACCATACATAAGGTCAATTGATTATGTAACCATTATCATATTATAGCTCTGCACATCAAGTTACTTGGGGTCAAACAGTGATATAGAGAACTATTGTTTTTCTCTCCTGCTTGGATGGACTTCCCTGAAGTTTCTGGTAACATGTTTTTGATGGTGTGTAAATCTTTAATAGAACTCTTTTTATGTACTTTCACTTTTAAAAATAAAGTTGATGTATCATGAGAATGATAAAATTTCCTACATACAAAAGATAAGTACACATTTCTCCAGGTTATTGTTTAAATTGGGTCTCTTGAAACTTTTACTTAAGAAGATGTATTTTGTGGAGACATTCTATTATTTTTTCCCTCAACCTACTAGCATTGATTTTGGCCAGTGTGGGGTGGTTTCCATGGCCCATGTGACTATATTTTTGCTAAAAGAGGAATCATTACTGCACCTCTACTTAATACAAACATATTCATATTTTGAGCAATCCCCTTAAATGTGTCGTTCATATTTCCATATTGTGAAATAAGCTCATGCTGAGTAACAATGACTGGAGATGGTAAATATGATCAGTGTATGTGTTTATTACAAAATAATTAATCTAAACCCAAACAATTTTAACAGCCTATACTGGACTACTTGGCCTCTGTTAATTCACAAAGCATTGTGCACAGTAGCTTTAGTTTCCAAATAAGGCTTTGAAGCTTTTTCACTTTCAACTGAAGACAAAGAAACCAGAACTTTGGTATGTGGTTTATAAAAACAGAAACCTGTGTGCTGGTCTGATTGGCTCATAACATAAGAGGCATCTGAGTTTTAATTTCATCTTGGCCAGCCAAGGATGTGCAAAAAATGACCTGCTGTTCACTTCTCCAACATCACCCCACTGAAACAGTGTTAAAGGACAGGACTTAATGAGGCCAAGATTGAGGAAGGATGGTGGTGCAGTTTTGCTAATAGCCAGATAAGGTCATTCTATCTATCCCTGTAAGTAGCAATTGCTTCTTCTTCCTATTTTTAGTTTAATGCACAAATGAGAGAAATGGAAAATATTTAGGCTGTAGCTGCTCCTTTATCTTTTCCTTTTGGGATGGGTGAAGATTCACAGCTGCCATCCAAGACTCTCTACCCTAGAGCTCAGCAGAAATAGGGGTAATATGTTATCCTTGAGGCCAAAGAATAAATCTGCAAGCAGAACATTCAGAACATTAATAATAAATGAGTATTTTCTTGAAGTCCCCTGCCTTTCCTTTTGATGTGGATTGAAATAGAGAATTCATCATGATAACAACAGGGAGCATGATGTTCAAGGGAGTAGATCCCTATCTTTCTATTCCCCTTCTCCACATGGCTCCACAAAGCTAGGTATATCTTACTCCTATCAGATTCCGGGAACTATATGAGTATATAGATGTTCTACTGTTAAGCTTTTTAAATCATTAGCTAACTGATGTTCTACACTTTCAAAAAAAAAAAAAAAAAAGCTGATGCTATGTGGTAGAAGGGGTACTTCTTCTATGCTTAAACTAGCACCATTTTCTGACTTTAGGGTTTTAATAGTGCATGAACTTATATGGCTATGGCATACACAAATAATTGTTACCTACTTTTGGCAGTCCTGTCCTGTATTCATCCTCTATAGTAGTTTTATGGGTATTTTAAACTCGTATTTTAAAAGATTATTTTTTCCCCTGAGGAAAACCTCTAGTGAAGTATTTTATTTTGTATTTGTCATCTGCTCTTCAATGAAAGCTAAGTCACTTC